TCTATCACAAGCGGAAGCTACGTTGAGCTCAATATTTGGATTGCCTGCTGGTAAACAGAGGGGCTACCAAATGAAGCCGCAGGGCCACAGGGGTGCGATTGATGCAAGGCGATTGGTTGGTATAGTCCTTCTCTTCGCTGGAACTGCTCTCATCTGCATTGGTTAGTTCAGTTTTATTTATAAAATGTTCTAATCTATTACACTGTATATGGTATTTCGTAGGATTCAATATGTGATATTTATGCTAGTATAGCACAGGCAAAAAGGCTTTCATGTGTAATAGACGCAAGCGGGCTGATAGCAAACCGATTTGAATAGAGACACTGCTAAAATCTGTCTTGAACTTGATACAGGGCAAACGGCTGTGAACAGCCAGCGTGCTCGCCAGCGACTCTATGAATCCCACATTTTCCCCACACCTGAAATGATCAATTCATCTTCAGTGTAATTCAACTGTATTTCTCTATTCGCCCTAAATTTTTTTTCCAGTTATTATTTACCTGTCGTCTGACTTCAGCACGTATCATGCTTCAGATAAATGGTACCTCGAAAAACTAGACCGTCAGCCGAGCTACGGGTTCTTCTAGTTGACAGTGTTTAATGAACCTAAGTAGCTTTTTCTTTGCTTTTTCATTCAGGTTCATTTTAAATATGACGTTAGGCTTGATTGAGACCCTTATGTGTGTCCATCTGGGGGCAACCGGTCCAGCCCGTCTCGTGTTGTTATGCGTTACAATGAACAATTGACTTGCACTCGAGTCTTTCTATCGTAGACATATTCATCTTTGTACTAGTCCACATCATGAACCAATCGAACATTCAATGATACAACTATCCGCTTCTCAGAAACTAGGCTTGACCAGATACCTTCGCAGCTGACACTGAAGTCAACATTGAAGTAGCACTATCAGCATATTTAGCTACTCGTATTTTCGTTCTCGTTAATATTCTTATGGTATAACAAGCGCTGTCGTAGTCACTACGCTAGAGATATGTATCATTGCCGTAGCACCCGATAAACTTCACCAATCGACGTATGTTGTCAATTGTGAAAAGTACAATGGGTCTGTTCGCTTCAAGTTATAATCGAAACAATACTGGGTGGGTCTTCACTTACGACCCAACCGGGTCCTTTAGTCGAGACACGTTTTTACTTTTTACAAAATAGCTATTACATACGACTCGTGCGAGTGTATTCCATCTTAGCCTATTTACCCATATTTCGTTGCCTTCGTTTGCTTTCAATACCGAACTAAACGGGCAGGCAAAGGCAAGGGCAAAGTGACAACGAGCGTAAGATAACGAAGACGTTAGTCAATCCTCTAATAAATCAACTGCCATCACAAGGGACACCGAAATCGCAACTAACATATGCAGATTTCTTGGATGATCTTGCTTCGAAACTAGCCTTAAATCAGTTCCCATGAGGATACCATACTGTATTTCTATAGCGTACTCCTTACCACCCCCCAACCGATGTTCTCAGTAAACACTGGATAGCAAAATAGCTTTAAAGCTTGGTCTTTCGAACCATCGTTCAGAATGTAATCTGACAGGATCGTTTTTTCAAAGAGTTCTAAGAAGGGATTACGGAATATATGTTTCGTCTATAGTATAATATATCTCAAAACTGTGCATCTGAAGAAAGGCATTTTTACCTAGAACCGAAAGCTTCCAGACAGATTTAGCGCTAGTAAAAATTTACTTTCTATAGGAACTAATGCTGTATTTTTAATGTTTCATCGATATTTCGATGTTGTGTTGATAATTAGAGCTGGCGATATACTGAGCGAACATGAGTTCAAACAAGGCTAAAGGGTATAAAGTATAATTACATGTCTCAAAATTGTCCGGTTTTATTATTAGCTATTTTTTTATATAAGGATGCTTTGTAATTTTTTCACGAGGATCTTTGAGATTACTTTGCGACGTAATTTGTAAAAAATCTAGTCAGCAGAGAAAGCAAGCCGGTCTGGAAAACATCTAAATGAGCACAAAAGGACTTTATATTAACCCAGAGGTCAAAAAAATTAAACTAACTTTATCAGCCTATATACAAATGGTTGGAAGATAAAACAAGGACAAGGCCCAAAAGAAAATTAAAAAATTTAACAATGTATTTATGACAACCAGCAATCGTGATAGAAGAGCCAGTTAAAGAACTTTTGTTTTATAGTCTCTTTTCGACAATACTCTGGTCATGTTTCTGTTATTTCCTTGGTCCGTGTTCTCTAAAAGATGTCACAAGAATCTTCGCAAGTTTTTTTTAGAAGCAATAAATTTCTCGGCGCTATTTTACCAGACCGCACCAATCCATCAGAGTGCGGACTCCTATTATATCCTACACTATAAACCATGTCACTACCTAAGAAAATGCAATTCTACCCTGGGGTATGTGAGTTACCCGACGACAAAAAAAAGCACGGTTACTATTCAGAGCTCCCCCGATAAGCACCGTGGTCTGCGGTACTGCTATAAAATAGGCGGCGCGGTTTTTGCGCGTTGTACGCGTAGGATCGGCACACCCGTTTCTGACCAAGGGGAACGAAGGACACATCTTGCGTCTACCAATGATTCATTTTTCTGGTTTAATTAATATCAGATTAAACCTAGACAACTAAAATCCTGCTGGATATGAGATGCCTTCTCAAGAGGCCGCTAATCTGTCGGTATATGTTTTTCTTCTAAACGACCGATATCGTTCGAGGTAACCTTGGAAATTCTGTCTAGCTGATTGGTCGAGCTGAGGGTTCGGAGCATGAGGAACATGTCAATATCAAACAATTTCACCATAATGGTAGCAGTTTGTTCCTTACTACAGAACATAAACAAATTTCTTGACATTAGACAAGAAACTTAATTACTTTCTAAAACCACCACTACAATAAGGGTAATATCGTAATAATAATGTTCAACGTACTGAAATTGCAAGCCATCGTTACGTTCTCGTCTAAGCTTAGACTTGCAAGAGCGCTGTTTTGTTTATGAAACGTTATGGCTGAGCAACATAAATATATATTACGCTACAGCTAGTTGAATTGGTTGCCTGTACCATACTCACTGACCAGTCTATGTGTTCCCGTCAGATCAAATTTTTTTTGAACATGTTTCCTTGTTCTTCTTCGAGCGTTCCGGAAGTACAATTTGACTAACATCGAAGATCGATATTTTCTGAAGATGGCCTGCCTTTAAGTCTGTATTTCGTCCATAGGAGACAGAATAAAGTTTTCTCGACTGCGGCGAGACCCCTAACCACCGTTAGACGTGTAACGGAAAGTCCTTTGTCACACCAGTGGGTGTGTCTGTGGCCTAATCGAAGAAGAACTACACCTGGCATAGCTTGTTGAAGACTAAACTTTTGGCGAAATCCGCTGCCGCTACTGCTACTGTCGTAAGAAGTCTTACTACTGCTTTTCAAATTACCTGGGTTAGGCCGCCGTCGGATACATGCACGCTTTGTAGTTTCATGTTTAACTAGGCTAATACTTTAGCAATAAGCATGTACGTTTCAAGTTGTTAGGGCAAGCGGGCTAAGCACACGTGAAGTTTCGGGTTTGACTCATGGCTGATTTTATTGAAAACTCCTACTTTTTTTTTTATATTAGCTCACCTAAAAAATACGTTTAATCTCGTCAAATACTCTAACAACCTATTTTGTAACTAGAATATTCTTGATAAAACAGTTTCGCTCTCCACCGGGCAATCGCAATGGAAACCTGGTCATTGATGGAATCCCGTATCACCGTTTCGAAAAATACAAATTTCATTCATACACGCTCCTAACAATCAACTACCTCGTCTGCTTTTAAAAAAAGTATCACTATGGTATGTATTGAATAGAATATGTTTAGGTTAAACCCGTCGAATGCTGCTGCTGCTGCTGCTGTGAGTGTCACTATAGTTCGTGTGAATTTGCAGATCACGCTGGACTAACTTAGAATGAAGATTTCACTAGTTCCAAAGTAAGAGCGTATGTTCACTAGCTCTGCCGTGCGTAACTTCCATAGACACAGCAAGCCTCCAGGAGCCTGACGGTACATTTAGGTAGTTCGAACGCGGCGAAAAACTGTGATAGATGTCCTGTCGCTCATTACCCCTAATATCACCTTTAGGACGTCCAGCAGATTTGCAGCGGATAATTAGGTTATCGAAATCAACAAGGTCCGTACAACACATACGTGCAGTTAGGTGTTTTAAATGGTCTTTTTCTCTCCCATGTTAGGATAACCCGTGCTTGTAAGGCTTTGACTACTACTACTACTACTACTATTACTACTACTACTACTACTACTACTACTACTACTACTACTACTACTACTACTACTACTACTACTACTACTACTACTAGCAAAGTGATGAAAACAAAAAAAAAGCGACTTTGCCAATATCTACGTAAACGTCAAAGAAAATCACAATCATCCAGGAAATGTAGGGGAGTATTGGATATGGAAAGATATTTGGTCGCCTTTATGATTGTCCTGAGAAATGTCGTCTGAGCCTGTGTTTTCTATATGTAGGACCTAGAGTGGTTTGTTACTACCTTAAGGGTGCACATTTTGAGTTTATGTGCGATATTTGGGTGACACACGGCTGAGCCAATAAGATGATAGTTCCAGGACTGCTTTTCGTAGCCTTACTTTAAACCTAATTAAGGTGAACATTTTGTTGTGATAGCGTGGCAATGCTGTCTTACTCAATCAATTGTAACAATATTGTTTGTCTTATGCCTTTGTTATTTTTGTAACGTATACACCAGAGAAACCAGCAAGCTTCATTGTTAGTTAACACTACTCTTCAGAGTCTTAAAATAGGCGTTCCATGCATTTCGATCGAACTTTTTTTGATCGTCACTTTCCGACCATAACCATATTATATAATAAACTATTATTATAACTTAACACTGTTAAGTTATACTACGATATTTATTACGAAATATTGCTATATATATATAGGTTATACATAGTACATATATATATTATCAGAGATTTATTTCATGGGACTCAGAGTTCGTTTGGTTTTATTGACCAACTTTGGCCAAAAGTAGTTTTTATGGCTTTTCGCCTTTAGAATCTCTTGGACTTTATTATTATAGCAATCCTATGAATGTCTGGGTATGCTCAAATACGCTGACGTCACCAGATGATTATACGAACTGTCAACGTACCAATACTAACTGGCTGATTAATAGAAACTATAGCTAAAAAAACAACAGTCGACTTCGACTTTGACATCCGGAAAAGTTGCCCGACGGAGCTAAAAAGGTGTGGCCTGATAGTAACCTGATAACAGGCCTTCTAGTGTTAAGGATAACACTAATGAAACAAACAACAACCATCTCAACGTTCGCAAACGGTTTGCGCTCGCTCATTTTTCTAGGTAAGCGCTTAAGGTGCTGAATTATATTTCTAGAAACGTCGACTCATTTTGATGGCTTTCATAATTCACGACACTTCTTGGTCTAGTGGCCTTGCCTCTGCCAAAAAACCTCAACAGGTTTTTTAACAAGGGAGATTTGGCAGACATTGTATTAATTAAAAAAAAAAAGAAAGAAAAACACCCTTTCTATGAACGTTCATTTGCTTGACATGCACAGCCTCAGACCTTGAATGGTCTACTTTTCTACTAAGAAAAGTCATACTTGCCTGGACATCCGAGTATGTAGCGCATAGATCTTAATATAAAATGCCAATAATGTTATCTATTGTATATGTCCGCTTTGTGCTGAAGCGTTTGTTCTGCTGACAATGACCAATTGTGATGGGGGCAGACACAAAACACTGGCAGCGTCTCAATCACGTTCTTCCTCGGAAATATTTCACCGTTCTTCATTTTAGCGACAAACGTTTAATTCGGATCTTTAAATAGCCAGAATAGTGTCCGAGATTAACTAGAGCGTCGAAAAGAGACGCTCCGTCGTATGAAATTGATCGAAATCGTCAAAAGATGACTCATCATAATTACCAACCACCATTGATAATAAAACGTTTACCTAGATTCACTAATAACAAGAGCTAATTAATATTTTATTTTGAAAATCATGTACGGTTCTATGGCTGCTCTAAAGGCTAACCTAGTAATGACGGAAGTTGACCAGGTTGACGGGCTCCGAGAGGCACGCTATTAATAGCGATGTCAACTTACCTTCAAATTTATGACTGTTCTCTTCCATTATGACTTGTCTAAAGCGCCATTGATAAACCCCATCGAAGTTAAAAACTTGACTGTCATCTTGTGTGCCCTGTGTTTCTTTATCACAAAGTGATAACACGCATTATTATAGTTTTTATATAAAAACACAATTAAATCACCGTAAATATAAATAACAAACAATAAGCGCAGACTAAATCAATCAAGGAGCGCTAAAACAATCAGCGCTGGCACTACAACTCCACGGTTAGTTTAAGTTAGTAAGACGGTCAAAGTAACCTTTCGATTGAACTTAGTATTCATCATCGTTTTATGCCTAGTAAAATCTGTCAGTAATAGATGTAATTTAACTTTGTTATTTAGTCTGATAAAGGAGCTAAGTCTAGAAAGGTCATATAGGACTGAACCGTTACCTAGAGAAAACACAGAACCAGGATAATTTTAGCCATCTGATATCCTCCATAGACAAATTGCTCGCTATACTGAATATATGTCTGACAGACGCTCAGTTTACGGCAGAGTTCGGTTACATAAACCATTGCTATACGGAACTCAGCAGGTGTTTCCAATAGCCAGAAGCCCAGTGCTTCTGGGCCGTTCAGATGTACTTCTTAATTTCGAAAGCAACTACGATTAACTTGGCCAGCGGTAGACAGAAGGGTAGCTGCGCAGCAAGATCGAGGCGAGCGGAAAGCATCGATTCAAAACAATCATACCGTCAATAGTTCATGCGGCTAATTATTGCCAATAATGATTATTATAGAAAAATCATGTACCTAACCTTTCGGTCTTGAATCGAGGTCCATTTATTCTATGTGTATGAATGTACTCTCTTTCAAAGAGCCAGGCAATGCGCTTATAAGTGGGGTTTTGCTGATTACAGGTGGAGGCATTGGGTATGTGGCGTGTTGCTCGGTGGCTTCTGGGTCATCGCTTTCGCTAGCGCCATGTAAAAGAAGTTTAAAGACTTCGTTTGTTGTCGAACGTGAAATTCTTGTTATTACAACAGCTCTTGGAGAACAGCGGCAACCACCGTCGTCGAATTCGCCTCCGCCCCCATTGGACGTCTAGTCAGCAATTGGGCGCCAACAGCGCTGATAGCCTCCTACGTTCATCCAACGGATCCGTACACAAGTCGACGGTGCGGATTTTTCCACCCATACGCACTTCAAATAGAACCTAATATGTACGCTATACATCGGAACACATGGTCTTCTCGAGCCAGTGATTAATATTTGTAACGTTTATATATATATATATAATCTACATTATGAACAATAAGACAACCAACATAGACAGATGCCAAGCTACTTAAGTGGAACCTGACTATTGAATAAAAAAAATTTCGAGATTGCAATGCACACCATATGATTTCTCTGTTTAATTTTATAAGTATGAAAAATGACTGTGTGTGTATATAACTAATAGATCTAGTCATATATATATATATATATATATATATATATATATATATATATATATACTATATGTTAGGCACTGCACGATACATACAGAACTACGTCCATCGCGCTACATTCTAAAGCGAAGGTTTTATGATAAAAAAAAAATAAATAAGAATCAATATATCCATATTAATTAATAAACTGAACTTTCAATGAACACAAACCTAATTGTTTTATTTTTATTGAAGGTGTGCATTATTACCCGTGACATTCTACCGTTCGGATGGTGACCTATACATTCGCAGACGTGAAAGTCTAGAGGTCCGGTCTATAAAATCTCTCAAGGAAATCTTTAGCTCTAAACAGGAGTTGGTAATGTTAATCTACAGCAACAATGTTTGTTTAGTGTAACACGGGTACTTTTTTTTGTCGAGGGTGATCGTGTTATAGGTGTGCTATGAACCCTGGCTGATTATTACGGAATCTGCTCATCATCTCTTCTAATTATTGATAGTATATTTTAGTCGTAATTGACAACCCAGGGCTGACGAAGTAGTAGACCACCAAAGAAATACCACTCGCTATCGTTGCCATACATTTGCTTTAGGGTTATATCTTGTAGGTTTATTTGCATCACAAGTCACCATTCTTTACGGGAATGGGTTACTATCACGTGAGACCGAAGAGAAGTAAACGTCTTTATGCCTTTGTCTTATACCCCTACGCTCACTCCTTCAAGCTGCTCTATTCGCTTTATCTGTCTCCTCTACTAATTTAACCGAGGGGAAACACACCGGCGAGCTTTGCCTTTGCAGCGAGCCCTCTACGAGGCTTATTCGTTTTAGGTTTTTCAGGTCCGGACATTTTCAAACCAACATCTCTATAGTGCCTCTGGTAAAATGTCCTTCACCAAATACAAAGCTTGCACGACAAAGTGTCTCCGCCGAAACTAGAACCCATATTTGTCGAAACTCCTGTTGAAATTGCATGGGGCCTACTGCAGCTCGTCAGCTAAAGCCCGAGTGACGATATCAGAGTGGACGATCATAAATACCAAATTACAGGGACAACTACATCTCGAAGGCAAAAGGAGTGTCACGAAACATCGTACCTTTACGACGCCATCTTGAAATTTTAAGCTCGACGTTTCTCGCACTTCATATTATAGCCTAAAATGATACTGTTGTACATTAGTTTTATAGATTCGAAGCAACGACAACGCGCATCGGTAAAGGGGCACTGGCAAATCATCAATTGTTGTTTAGCGTTTTACGTTTGGACAACAAATCGCAAAGGACAGATGATACAGAAGAAAGACATGAAAATATTTGAGACCAACCAATATTCGTAGATAAGCGAACTCATTATGGAGGATACATACATTTGTACAAATAAAACAAGCTTGCAATACATTTTTATGCTCAGCCGGTCTATGTAAATAGTTACAGCCTAATGGTATAGCACAGCAATGTACCAGGCGGTACTGTTTCGTATTAGGTCGATGTGTCCTGTTTTTTGTTTACGGCAGGTCCGTTGATATTGTCGTGAAGCAGGTGCATATACTTTCAACTGCCACAGTTTTGATATTTCCTAAAATAAAAATTGTGCTTAAGATTTCTCAACAACCTGGCAAAAGCTAACAAAGTAAAGTCGATTAAGAGCTAAGAAAACAGAAGAAGTAGATTAGAAATAGATTATAAATGAAAACGGCGAACGAGAAGATTCTATACGGTTACTGAATGATAAACTCAAATATTTACGGCCGGTTGACAACTGCTTGCCATTTGCCTTAGTGCTTCTTAACACGGGTGCATATTTCGCGGGCGTTTTATGTTTTGCAATGAACTTTGTTATTTTTTTTTCTAGCAAGACGACAAAAACCTACTAATACAAAAAGACCGTTTCGCTAGCCGCGATAGAATCAGCTCGGTTGCTACCCGTACTCTCAATAAACCACTATTCGCTACGTATTTGTGGAACAAGCGTGATAGTAGTGAAAAAAACGTGCGCTTCAATAAATAGATATCGTTGTGTTTGAGGCATAATGCATACTTAAGCAATTGTTAATATGTGTTTATAAATGAGCTTCAGTGGCATTTTGCAGACGTAATTAACGATGGCGAAGAAGATATTAAGCTAAAGCCGATAAGCGAGAGAGTCGAATCTTCGCTACCGTTAAACCCACTCTGTTCTGGGCCGTACACTAGAATGTACTGCTAAACGGTGAAAATGTGCCACGTACAACGAACGACTACTTCGAATATTTATTTCCATATAAATTTTCCGGCGTATTTATTTCCAAGCCTGTTAAACTCAGCCTGGTTCCAGTCGTTTGTAAATACTGCATAGTATAAGTACGATATGCGATATACGCCGGGAACAGGAAGCATATAGACAAACAAATACGAATATAGAGGTAGCTATTCGAGTTTCACAATTAACAAACAATGCAATAGGATATTCATAAAAAGTAGCATTATGACAAATTGATTTGTCCACAGAGCTATTTGGCATAAGTGGAATATCGATAAGTGGACTTTATAGAAAAACTTTATACAACAAAAATGATAAGGCTAACTTCAATAAAATGCACTATAACTTAATTGTCTGTTATTTTTGTCTGTGTACTGACTAGTGCCAGCTATTAGAGCTTACCACGCATTGGGAAAGACTTCGATGAAAAACAAAATGGAGACTATAATCAATATAGTATAAACTAACAAATTAGCTCAATCGGTCTCATTGAATACTCTGCCGGTTTTCCATACCTCGAAGGCAAAGTACCTAGGTTATAGGTTCAAAGGGATATAGGTTAAAAGTTTCTGGATCAGCAGAGCTCGTTGACCAGAATTATAATCCGGGCGTAGGGAGTATAGGTTTTACGCTTTATTTTGAGCTTTTTTTTTTGCAATTTGAATTTTAGTAATTTTATATAGATGAAAACCGAGCTTATAATCAATCAAATGATGCGTACATTTTTTGGGTCACCCTGTATATATATATATTGATAGCAACCTATCTTTTGTATCGGCTTTGCAAAACCTCTTTTGAGGCAGACGTGCTAACTAATATTCAGGGTTCGTTTTAGGGTCGTATTAAGATCATCATACATTACATTCGTGCATTCATAACGAAGAGTGATAAAAAAAAACTGCTAGACTTGTCGTCGACCGCTGTTTTTTTTCTAATAAAGATCCACAGTAAAATTACTAGAGATTTATTAATTTCTGGTAATTTTACTGTGGACTACATATAATGTTTAAGTAAAGAGTATAATGCACGGTACATTTAAACGATTCTCTGAGCCAAATAGAAAAAGGCAAACGGGTTTTTCTCATTCAGCAATAGTACATAGGGATTTAGCCTTTGGGGTCTGAATCAACATATATGTTTCTAGAGTTAGCGGTAATTAAGATTTCAATGTCGCTGGGGCTGCTAAAATCCTTACACAGTGAATTTGTATACGAATAAGGAACATCTGTGAAGTAGACACGTGGTAAATCGAGTTAAAGGTGTACATATGCTGTAACATATAAAAGTTATCACAAATTAATCTGTAATATGTAGAACACTATGACTAGTAGATGCAAATAGTTTATTTACCAAACCTAGTAAGTTTATTTTTGCCGATTAAATAACTGGAATTCTATCTACTATCGGCCATGAATTTATAGACTGGTCATTCCTAGCAGTTTAGTGTCTATTTCAAGATGGACTTTCCATTGTTAAATCTTAAATGTGTCTTATTTTCAAATTGTTTGTTATGTTTAGTTTTTTTTTTCTTAGAGCCACCGATATGCCCATATACACGGAGAAATAAAAAAAAATTTGTACCCAAAGATAGGAGTGATCATTTTTCTGTGGTTTTGTGGACTTTGATCAAAAGTTGTAGAGCAAGATGCGTCTGATCGGCCGCTGGATGTGCGAAGTGTGCATGGGTCAATTGTGTGATTTAATTGAATGCTTTCATTTAGGTAAACCGCCTTACGCCGAATGAACATTATGTAAATCAGTGAGCTGATAACTTCAACTGCTAAATTTAAAAAGGTGATGCAATGGAAGGCCAGTAATTGCATAAACCTTTGAAGCGTAACGAAGCTGAAAAATATGTACACCAACTATATCCGCTTTGGAATATCGATCCATCTTTAACTTTTTTTTTTTATGACATTGAGCTTCGTTATTCTAAATTCAAGTCTGAAAAGGTATGGCGTGTCCCGACAAATACACCAACCTGGGACCGATATCCTAACTAGAAAGCTACCTTAAGGATATAACTGGAACTTCTACAAGACACTACCTTGTGGCCTGAAAAAGGAGCATAGAGGCATATTATATTCGACCGGAACGACGAATGAAACCGGTATCTTCAAACACCTGTACGTACTCTCAATCTGCCCCATAAAGGCCCGATTTCATTTTGCAAAGCATAACAGATATTCCCATAGAAGAACATACTCTAGCAACATAAGGTTCAGTAATAAGTAGAACTTATCTAAGTCTAGGTTTGGCAGCTCGCATTATAAGTGTATCATGGCGTAGGAGAGTTGCTGTGCACTGAGCATTGGGATTTAGAGAGAGTATATAAGACGGACATGTTTTTCTACAGCAGATTCTAGGTACTTGATAGGATTTGTTCTTAATAACAGTGCTGAAAGGATTGCTTATTCCAAAGGAGGAGACGAAGAGAAAAATAGGACAGAAAACAAATTATACTCGCGGCCTGCTTAGAAATCGACCAAGGCTGTATAGGGAAGAAGGGTGGATTTGTTGCCGAATAATTTTTACATCGATACATCCATAAAACTAGATAAAATGCTTTTAAGTAAAATATTCCTCGACCATATAATTATGTCACCAATTGGGTAGCGTTTGAAGCCAGTAAATGCGGTTAGGGTGTTTCTGCCCCTTATTACATAACACAGAGAAATTTAATAAATTACATAGTTTACATGAATTGAATTCAGATTGAGTTAATTACAAGTCAGTCGTCTCGAGGTTCACTTTGACACGCAGCTCCCGAAAAGTAATGGCTGTTTAAGTGTATAAGTAATCCATAAATGTCATAACAGATGTTGTGTTTGTACTAAACATGTATCCATGATTTGATCGATTGGCCTGCCCGCGCCTAAATGAATTTTTAAAGGCGACCGTCCTGTCTTTGTCCACTGTAAGTACCTAACTTAAGGGTTCATGTTTATAGAAACGCAGAACGAATAGCCAATTGAAAACAGGTATTTGATAAAAATAAAGACAGTAAATAACGGAGATATTTAAATAGCGCAAATGGAATAAATGGTATAAACTATCCGCATGCTATATACATATACTCAAGTCGATACTCAGATCGGATCCAACTATTATAGACACTATTCACAATGGCCTAGGAGAGTTTGCAGTTCGTGTTTATAATACGAGATCCAATATAGCCTAAGCTTTATATAAATAAAGGTATAAACAGATGGCTCACCATACAATCTTATTGGACTCCTTCCCCTAAATATGGCATTCCCTATCACATAGGTACACCGTCATAAAATATACGTTTACACTCTTCTCATAGCAACGTCATCGACAGATGAATAAACAACCGCATCGTCCCATATCGAAGCTTCCTGTATTTTTTTCTTACTCCGAACTTCTTCTATTTTGTAACTTATCGTTGTCATTATTTGGTTCCTGCTCGGATTTTGTTTCGTATGTGGCTGTGTGTATTTGCGCCATTGATGACAACATTGTGGGTTTGTCTAGGCTAGCCTGGAGTCTGGCTCCCCTACGAAACAGGCGCTAGGTAGACAGCGGTGCACAGATAATCGGTCTTGGCTTCAGACCGGCTGCATTGTTAATCATACATTTTCGATAAACGTATACATTTCTACAGTCGAATTTTACAATAACGAAAAGGACCCATAGGGCATCCACGTAACTCCAGGTAATTGACTTAGTAGCTGTTTTACTCCGTTTTCGATTTACGCCGTTTATCGAGTTGTCAAAAATTCACTCAGTAGCATTTCAGCTATAAACGATGTGACACGTATGGGTTGCAGTGATACTTATGGCAAGATAGAAATTTGAAGGAAAATAATTACTTTGGAAAAGATAAAATATTCTCAGTTTGCTTATTTTTTAAATATAAAATGAATTATTTCGCAAGCAAACAATAAAGCAAATATCCTCCTAGTCTCTTGCATGTCTGAAGAAGCTATAAACATATAGCAGGTACATTAATGTCAGTTGCGGGTATCACCATGCCCATAGAGATGAAAAGGCTAGAAGCAAGCAACAAAAATGTGGCCCTTATGATGCCCTTAAATCTTTGAATGTCTTGCACCCACACTTAGCCATCAATTTTTAATAACCTTATATATATATATATATATATTCTATCTAAACAGGTGGTTTTAAGGTCACGTATTTCAGTTACTATGGGTTGTGTTGGGTCGGCATTGGTAACATTTAAACGAGTGTTAGCATTGTTAGGATGCCTTTATTCAGACTTAAGATAGCCGAAATTCTTTTAGAAGTTATCAAAAAGTTGATGATAATACTGCCAGACG